GCTGATAGACGCAGAGGCTGCTGGCAGCAGCAGCAGCAGCAGCAGCTGCAGCAGCAGCAGAGACCCAGAAAGCGACATGAAGCAACGGGTACCTAGGGTTTAGGGTTTAGGGTTTGGGCCGAAGCTGTATAGTGTGGGGAGCTCTGGGTCTAGGCTTTAGGTTTTGAGGATTCTGAAGTCTGCTGCTGTTGCTGCTGCTGCTCCCGCTGCTGCTGCAGCACTACACGTAGCTTTATTCCGACATTTACTGCTGCTGCAACAGCAGCTGCTGAAGTGCCTTTGGTTGCCGCTCTTCGGCAGCGTGTCGGCCTGCTGCTGCTGCTGCTGCTGCTATTGCTGCAGCACAGCTCTCTGTTGACAGCAGCAGCAGCAGCAGCAGCAGCAGCAGCAAGCGTGGCGTTGGGGCGTCTGCTGCTGCTTGCGCGCAGATGTTTGGGGGCAGCAGCAGCAGCTACGAAGAGACAGACAGCGAAGGAATTGCCAGAGTGCTGCTGCTGCTGCAGCAGCTGCTGGCTGAAGTTTCCCCACAACTCTCAGAGGCGCAGCGCCAGCAGCTGCTGCAGCAGGGAGCAGCTCAGCGGCTTCTCGAGGCATTTCAACAGCGTCAGCTGCTGCTGCTGCAGCTGCTGCTGCGGCGTGTCTTGTTGTTGCTGCTGCTGTGGTTTCTGTTGCTGTTGCTGCCGCTGCGTTGCGTGGCTCCTGGGGGTCAACTCTGCTCCGGCTGCTGCTGCTGCTGCTGCTGCTGTTGCTTCTGCTGCTGCTTCTATCTCTTGCCGCTGCTGAGTGGGTTTCCCACTTTTTTAATTTATTTCTGCTCCTTGTATTTTTGCTGCTGCAGTCAAATCCGAAAAGAATGAATTCTACGGAGTAAGGAGCCGCTGCTGCTGCAGCTGCCTCTGTTGCTGCTGCTGCGACTGCCGCTGCCGCCGCCGTTGCTGCTGCTGCTTCTGCTATCGCTGCTGCTGTTGCTGCTGCTGCTGCTTTTGCTGGTGCTGCTGCTGCCTCTCGTGGCGTTTTTGTCGCAACTGCAGCAGCTGCTTCCGATGCTGCGGCTCGATCCCCTTGCTGCTGCTCCTGCGGTTTATGGTTTATTTATTTATTTACTGTTTATTTATTTATTTATTTATTTATTTATTATTTATTTATTTATTTATTTTTTATTATTTATCAATTTATCGTTGCTTGTTTTCTTTGTCTTAGCTCGTTTCGGTGGTTATTTTGGAGCAGCTGTGCACCTGGGAATATTGTGGTGCTGCTGCTGTTGGTGCTGCTGCTGCTGTCTCTGGTGCTGCTGCTGCATGTGCTGCTGCTTTTGCATGGGCTTGCTGCATTTGCTGCTAGCTGCAGCCCTTTGTCTCATGTGCTGCGAGCCCAGCTGTGGGCTGCTGCTGCAGAGGCTGCAGCTGTTGTCTTCGTTGCTGCTGCTCCATGCATTGCTGCTGCTGCTGTTGCTGCTGTTGCTGCTGCAGTATGCCCTGGAGCTGCTGAACCGTTTGGATGCTTTGGGCCCCAACAGCACGTCAGTAGCGAGCAGCCAATTCGTTGCAGAAGCAGCAGCAGATTCTGCTGCTGCTGCTGCTGCAAGTGCAGCACCTGCTGCTGCTGCTGCTGCAAGTGACTCCTTTGACATCAGCACCACCACAACCGCCAGCAGCAGCAGCAGCAGCAGCCTGCCCCTAGCAGCTCAAAAGGAGCAGCAGCAGCAGCAGGAGACAGTCCCCGCTTAGCAGCAGCAGCACTCTGTAGCGCCACCACATTTTCACAGTTGCTGCTTCTCTAAACTCTAAGCGTGAAGTTTTCCTGTCTCGAAGCATGTTGCTGCTGCTGTTGCTGCTGCTGTTGTTGCTCCTGCTTCTTCTTGCTCTTTTCGTAGTGCAGCATACAGTGTCCTGCCGCATGCAAATAGCTGCAGCTGCACCAGCAGCAGCAGCAACAGCAGCAACGCAACCAGGTGCTGCTGCTGCTGCTGTGGTGCTGCTGCTGTACTCTCGAAAGCAGATAACAAACTTTAACAGAAACGGACTCGTCCCCGCACTATTTTGAAAAGGCATGCTGCTGCTGCTGCTGCTGCTGCTGCTGTCTGTGTTGCACTAGAAGCAGCAGCA